GGGAAACACATTTTAAAAGGTTTTTAAAAACTATTTTAAAGCACTACCTGGTACGTCGTAACACTTCTCCTTTCTCAAGGCTGCTGTTAAGACATTCAGGCTCCTGGCACATTGTTCCTCAGCACTAACTGCACCTGCAGACAAACAACGGCACCGCTAAACTGCGTACCCGCGCTGTGTGTTCCTCCCTCCGATCCCATTTACACTTCCCTTGGGATTGTTTATTTCTGGAGCTGTAGTGGAGCGTGAAAGGGGGCTGGGACTGGTGTAGAGGAGGGGCTGGGCAAGAGGGAGCTGGCAATAACTGCCTCCCCGCGTGCTTTTCTTCCCTTCTACTCCAAAGCACACCTAGAATTGTCTTACACGGGCCCAAGAAAGGCCTGCACGCCCTGTGCAGCACCCCCGCCTGCATCGTGCGCCCCAGCGCTGCAACCCCCGAGCGAGCGGCCCCGTGGTGCCCGCTGCCGCCTCGGACCGCAGCCCGCCTGCACAAGCACAACATGCAGCACATCATCAAATCGTTCAGGACACGGACACAGTTAACAGCAGCAAAGGCCAGGGCCTACAAGTTCTTTGCCGCTTTCAGGGATGCCTCTGCTTTTAAAGCTCTCTCCAGTCTGTGGGTGCACTTTTAAGAGTGTGTGAGCTTAGAGGTGAGAGCTCAATTAAATCTGCTCTGTCAGTACTTTTGGTTTGCTTCATGCAGCATGGAAGTGATTTTGCTCCCTCCTTTGTTCTAGGACTAACCCTTCACTTCGGCCAGACTCTTCTTCTTTCAGTCTATACCTACTCAATTCATTTTCTTCAGGCTTGCCTGGTCGAGAAAGCACTGCCGCTTTCTCAGGAATCTGGATTCACACAAGGAAAGAGGATTCAGTAGGAGGTCTCTGCCACTGCTGAAGCAAACAGTAAACGGGCTTTTGTCAATAGTAGTCAGCGAAGTCAGGCAGGGAAATAACAAAACACTTTTATTTCCTATCAGTTAGTTCTAGAAAGCAGTGTTACAGCGGGAGCGCTCTACGATTAAGCACTGATTTTATACAGGAATGCAGTACTCAGCAAGCTTCCCAGACTGCCACGTCCCAGCACAGCAGAGCTGGAGCTACCTCACTACAGATGCTGTTCAGAGGTATCACACCACTTTACAGAGAATTCAGTAATCGGGATAAAATTAACCATTTTAGGGACACCAGTAGAAGTAGCGAAAAATTGCTCACAGTCCAAACTGCACTCCTCATGTTTGACAAAGACCATTCTCCGTGGTTGAGAGCACAAACCTGTCAGAACTAACGCTCTGCGCGTGCTCTCCTTAAGTCACTCTCTCTCCGCTATCGTATTAAAGACTCACGAGCACCCGGCAGCAAATCTCCATAAATCTTTAATCACATTACAGTAACGCAGTGTCTCTGCCTTTAATGAGTACTTTCCATGCTGCCCTTTTAAATAAAAGCTAAATACCTGCAAGAAAGCAAAATTACATCATGTAAATGACACAGTGCAAGTTTGTTTTTCAGTCTTTCAACACCTACTTGTACATGATCAGAATAATAAACAAATGCAACTTTTTTTTTTTTTTTTTTTAAACATAAGCTCTATCTAATTTAGATTTGAATATTACACAAGAAAGTTAGTTTCTTCCTACTGGAAAGAGCGATTTACCAAATCATTCTCAGATAGTTACAGTGTCAAAATCAGAGCAAGAACCTTAAAATGAGTCTCTAGTGCATAGCTCACTACTGCAGGGAGCCAGATACATGGCAATTCCTTTACTCAGCATCCTCATTTCAACGAGATGACACCCTCCACATTAATTGCGTGTTATTTTGACATTTAATTTAGTTCAAAATTATACATTTTTATCTAAAGTTCTTACTTATATAGGAGAAATCTACCAAGCACTAAAGACTTTCTAATTCACAGTGAATAGTGCCCAATGGGGAATAATTTTCAGAGGAAAAAGAAGTTATACTACATGATCCACTTGTCATACATTTGCAAAAGCAACATCCATAGTGAGTTTAAATGGAATACGAGTTTCAACTGACCATGTGCTACAAGCAGCTACCAGCATTAAAACCAGATGCCCACAGTTTCTCCTAGTGGTATTAACTTTTTAAAATAAAACATCTATTTGATCAGACGGAGCTTTGAACAGGCTGGATGTATTTATTTTCAAGCAGCACAAGAGAAATCAAGTACATTACTTGCATGTTCATTTATCAAATAACAGTTTCTGTTTTTAAAAACTGCATTTACACCTTCACTTTCACAATTAAATACTGCCACATTCGTTTCTCTGTTTGGTAATCATCTCTGTGGAAATAGGAAGTTTGCTTAGGCAAAATACTAAATTTAATTACAAAGGTGCTTGAAACAAAAGTACAAGGTCAAACAAGTGCAATTTATGAGAACACTGATCTAACACAGATACTTATGATGTACAAATTTGAGGGGAAAAATAACGGTGTCTGATGTGCACAAGAATTAAGGTTGTGACATGAAAATGATTAATGAAAAAATGCAGAACCTTTTAGCTTTGGGGACCTGTATCTTGCATCCGTTTACACTGAAGAGGCCGGTCCCCAAACCCTGGCACATACAAAAAGCCAAAGATGATGCTTTTCGCTCCAGAAAGTCATGGAAGAAAAAAAAAGAAGGAGGTGCTACTGTACAAACAGTAAGTCAGTTATAACCGAGCAGTGACAGCCAGGAATCCCTTTGCCACGCGCATCAATCACGAGCGAGGTGCAACAAAAGTCTCCACGCTCAGTCACCAAAGGCAACGTCACCAGCTCATTTAGGAGCCCGTACAACTGGCAGGGGAGGAAAAGGGGCTTCCCAGGGCTTCTGAAATGGTCGTTCAATCTCTAAGGATAAGTGATAATGCTTAGGCCGGAAATTTAGAAACACAGAGGAGTAACAGGCCTTTCTCTTGGCTTAGTCTCGAGAGGTTAAATAAAGCAAGGAGAGGGGTTCATTGGCCGCGGCGTGCGCGTGACGCTCTCCCCTTCCCTGTCCCACCGCTGGGTAAAGGCGGAACGGAGGGAAACGCTCTCCCCTTCCCTGTGCCACCGCTCGGTAAAGGCGGAACGGAGGGAAACGCTCTCCCCTTCCCTGTCCCACCGCTGGGTAAAGGCGGAACGGAGGGAAACGCTCTCCCCTTCCCTGTGCCACCGCTCGGTAAAGGCGGAACGGAGGGAAACGCTCTCCCCTTCCCTGTCCCACCGCTGGGTAAAGGCGGAACGGAGGGAAACGCTCTCCCTGGGCTGCGCTGTTGGCAGCAGAGAGCAGCAAAGAGACCGCGGGAGGAGCTGCCTGCCTTCCTGCCTTTCCACACGCCGAGCGCGCAGAGCCGGCTCCGCGCCCGGCTCCGGGACTCAGCAGCGCGCTCGGAGCCCCGCTGGCCCCACGTGCCTCAGCCTGCCTTAGCTGGCTGGTTCTGGAAGTGCTTCAATCCCCTAGGCTGCATCCAGGCTTCACTACAACGTGGAGCCCGACGGCCCGACGCCCAGCGGGCAGATAACACAGAACGACCCGTCCGAGACACGAGCGGCCCCGTCCTCATCTGCAGGCTGGAGCGGGGGGCGCTCGGACCATCCCGGCCACCCGCATCCCTGCGCTGACTGCACCGGAGCTGCTCCTGCATAGCACGTATCAATTAGTCTTTAAAGAAAACATATATATATATATATCTACATAAGTGTCTATTGCAGACTTGTGGAATAGAACACAAAAGAGCATCGGTCATTTTAAAAGCTACACGTACATACACCGAGACCAAAAGCAATAGTTACACTTCTACAGGGACATTTTACGTGCATGTCAGAAGCAGTAGATCAGTAGCACTTTTTAGAGGCATTTTTGGCCCTTTTCCAGCAAAACTACTTAGACTAGCAGTAGGCTGTCAGGTTTTCCATGGCTGTTCTATCTGTAGCTTGCCCTAGAAAAAAAATAATGAAAGCTTCAAAGTAGATCTTGTGTTTTCAAATTCAAAATATAATTTTTGAAGCAATAAAGGTGAAAAGTAAGTTGCTGGATTGCAACTACTTGATACAAATTTCCTTTTTTTTTTTTCCTTTTTTTCCCTATTAAGATGACAAATGCACCTAAAGAAATTAGAAGTGAATTTCTTAATTTACACTAGGATATTCCTAGTTATCTCTGATACAGCTGCTCTATTTCATTCGAGGAATAGTAGAAATAACTATGACTTGAAATCTTGGCCCCAGAAAAGAGCGTGGCAAAAAGCTGAAAGATACCAAAGAGGCAATAAACTAAGAGTGTCTTTTACTGTATAAAGCAGGAACATTTGCTAAGGTAATATGGAAAGTAATAACAGCTACCATGTGGGGATGTTGGAAGGCATAGAGAGGATTACACTTCAAGAAACAGGAAAGAATCTGTTCAGAAGCAGGAAATATGGAATATGTATGGAGTAGAACACACTGCACATGTGCACTTACATATGAAATACAGCATTATGCCACATCTTTTCATTTAAACTAACGTATTTCTTCACATACGGACATGAACGGAGCTGTTCCTTCCCTAATGCAAAAAGAAGTTATCTGAATAGACCATTCCCTGAGTAGACACAGAAAATCTATACGGCCGATTTTCATTTGGAGGAATTTTCATAACTTTACTGGCAATCAAAGTGTTCAGAGTTTGCTACTGTGCTAGTTTTAGGTAATTTTAATACTTTGTTTTTATATGCATGTAGTTACATTTATGGCATAATCACATCCTCATAGATAATTCTATCCCAATTTGGGAGAACTTTTTTATTTTTTCTAAATACTTTTTCTGAAGAGCTCTCTCTATCTGGAATCCTACTCATGTCCCAGGGTAAAACACAGCTGAAACATAGGTAAAGGTAAGAAGGCCTACTGCATAATGTCAAGAAAATACTGATTTCACAATTGTCACACAGATTTTCAGATACAGAGAGCCAGAGATGGATTAATCTAACAGTTGTAGATGGCTGCAGAGGAGAAAAAGAAAGAAAAAATCTCAAGTCAGCCCGAGGGTCACTTTGCACCCTGCTGATTTTAATTTGCGGCTCAAAGCGAGGTGGTTCCACCTGGCTTGGAACCTTTTACATGTTCCCCCCATATAATTTTGCAGATGTGCTCTCGAATCTAACCTGAAAGAGAAATCAGTATTCATACTCTGGTTATTTCTAACAAGAATGCACAAACATTTGGCTATCTGAATTGAAAAATATAGCTAATTTACATAAATATCTTCAACATCCAAGAAAATGGACAAATCTGAGGTTGACCCCATTTGGCTTGCAACAAGCCCTCTTTGCTAGTGTCTTTAATAAAGGCTCAGATTTAAAGAAAAGTAGTCATTTTAAGCCAATATGCTGCAAACGCCATCCCGTTGTGTGGAGACACTCACCATTCTTCTACACCTCTAGTGAAACCGACTGATAACCCTCCACATCTGTCTGCAAGCAACATGGGCTTGGTTTTGGTCCTGGACTGCATGTCTCCACTCCTACATTTTGAAGCAGTCTTTTTATAGCTGAGAGAAGCCACTGCACCTGCAATATTCAGCAGCACCGTGCAACAGCACTGCTTAGTCCCCAAGGTTTTGTGTTGACTGCGTAAAAGTGGAAAACCAGGATGACATGGCCGATTTTGCACTCGTGAAGGCTCCTCCAACTGACTGACCTGCATTACAAAACAAAAGAAAGAGGATCAGGAGTTGTCATGTTCTTGTCATCTCGTCATTGCTAGGCTCGTAAAGCAGCACAATCTGTTGTTTACTTTGGGATTTTAAAATGCAAGTCCACAATCTGTGTCACAAAGCATTCAAAGAACTTGAACACAGGAGGTCAGCATAAATGTTTTTTCCTGTGTTTTCCTTTGTCCACACACTGGAAAAGAAACTTGTGCTAGAAACTTGGGCCTAGCTGCTTCTCTTTCTACTACCATGCAACACACAGGGCCACAAGCAGCCGCTTTGTCTCTCAAAACACTGCTCTATTTTGTACATATGCTGTGGAGTACGCTTCGACTAAAATGCGATATAAGTGAGATATGGGATGCTTCTACAAGAGATCTAGGGCCTCCCTGTAAGCTGCCTTTCAATGTGTTTCTTACCTACAGCTTTTCCTGTTTGTACCACATTTCGGCTAGTGGAAACCATCACATTCCCAATCTTCTTTCCGCGTTCACTGTTTTGCACTGAGCTAAATGAAAGACACGTGGAAGACTGTGAGTCACCTGACATATTACCTCTAATTGCAAATCAATTATATGATTAGAAACATATATATATATATAAAATATATATACAAAAATATTTCTAGCATAGGAATTGTATGGTCTTGATTATATATCCTGTTTGCAGGACAGGATTATATGTCCTGTTTGCAGGACATCAAACCCATACAATTTCTATATTGGAAGTATCTCACCCACACAGACCTGTTAAGCACAGAACATAAAAAAAAAACAAAACCAACAAAAAGCTATCAACAACACTTCCTTCTTATAAAGCACACTACTACCTCTTATAAATGTTTACTATAATGTATTAATCTCCTAAACTATGAAATAAGATTTATAGACATTTTGGAAAGTTTTAGTTCTGATCTGCAAGTCTTACAGGGACAAATACGTGTTAATGAATAATCATCACTCATTTCTCTAAATAAATTTTACTTTGTATTTTGCTTTTAAAACAAAATTTTTGATCAAGTATAATTAAACTTTCATGCTTTTGTTAAAAGGTAAAAAAATAAAAAGGCAGACAGACACTACAATCATTTGGAAAGGACTTTACAAAAGCAATCAGCTCCATTTTCAAGTGATTGCATTTTTGCAATAGTCTCATTTAGGTTTAACTTATAATATTAAAGTTTCAAACATTTCGTACTCTGAAAACCTATTTATGTGAAACTCAGGAACACAGCTATAGAAAAGCATGCCACATGCTCTTCTACCTCACATTTCCTACATTATCTTGTTGAATACTTTCAAAGTCTTCAGTGTAGATGAAAAGCAAAAAGAAAAGAATACATCTCAAGAAACAAGTTCAGCTACAATTTAGAAAAAAAAAAGTAATTTTGATGAGCATCTGACAGGCAAATTACTTCTGAGGAATAAAGATACTGTTGTAAAAATATTAGATGCAATTACTGATCTTTCCATGTTCATCTTAGAGTACCAGAAAGTGGTACTTTAAAAGAGGTCTTTAAAAAAAAGGGAGAGAGGTAGCGGGGGGCACATTATAGTCATCCCTGCATCTTACTGGTTATTAAATCCTTCTACAAAGGCTACAAACTACAGTAATAGTAAGAGTGCCCATCAGCATGCAGCTTATTGAAGGCAATTACCTTGAAATAAATCTTGGTTTGTTTGCAATTCTGCAGCTCCATCACAGTTTAACCTGTCATGGGTCAGCAGAAGCAACCAAAAGATTCAGGGGGCTGAAGTCTGAACCTTTTTATTCCTCAGGCTGCCCTTTTATGTATTTTAGTGTGTGTTTTACCTCTACATATGCACTGCTGATTTAACAGGCATCTTACAGAACCAGTCTGCTTCCATGTTCACAATAAGCCAACTGTATCTAGGTGACACCACCAAATCCAGTGACTTTTATTAAAGAACAATCAACATAGCTAAGTAAGAGAAAACAATCTATTTGGTGACTGAACAAAAAGAAACAGTTAATTGTAACTGCATGACTGGATTTTGGCTATAGTTAAGATCTGTGCAGCTGTGAGAATAAGAAGTGCAATTTTAGGCCTGAATATGGAACTGATGGAACTTAAAAGTTTGGGGAGAGTTTGGTGCAGCAAGAAGTTATAGAAGATGTATTTTAAACTTCTAAATTGAAGAATCTGAGCCCCAGCCCCAGTACACCTACCATGAGCTCCAAGAGAGAATTTTAGAAAAAGACTGCACTGAAGAAGAAAAAACAAACAAAAGCCCCCAAACGCTAATTTTTCTGAACTAGACCCAAAGCCAACATGCAGAGAAACACTGGTAAAAGTTTTAATTGCTTTGATTTACATGGATTACTAGCAGTTTAAAAGCCTTATAACTGCAGTGTAAAAATCAGTGTAGACTAAACAAAACTGTATTAGCACTATTTTTCCCCTATTTTATGCAAACCAGCAAATCGTTCATCTTTATATGTGGTGAAGTTGTGCAAGAGAACTTCAATTACAGTTTCATGGTACATGTACATGTACATGGGTGATTCAAATTGAATATATTGAAATACTATATACTTACTGTGACAACCTTAATTTAACATCTGATACAGAGTACTGGCCCTGGAATGGGTGGCTGGAAGAGGGGAAAGAAACCCAGAAAAACACATTTATTTATTTTTTCATGATGAATCCATATTACAACAACTGAAATCACTGGTTATATTCTTCTCTGCTGTTAAAAAAAGAAGAAAGTCTATTATAGCTGCAGTAGTATCGCTTTATAGCAGACCAGATCCCGTGTCTATCCAGGCTTGGATTTCTCACGAACCACCCGTAAGGTGCTTTCTACTGATAAGCCAGATATAAACAACCTTTTCACCCCGAGGCAGACTCGCACCTCCTCATAGCAAGACAGAGCAAGGAGAGCGGCCCTTGAGCGGCCAGAGGAGCTTTGCTGGCCTCAGGGAGAAGCTCCCTCCTCTCCAGAGCAGCGAGGGGCAGCGCAGTGGGGCCTGCCGCGGAACCAGGCCTGCCGCGGCCCCGCGCCGCAGCACGGGCAAACATCAAACACTCCAAAGCACAGAAGATGAAACACAAACCAGCCAGCTCCCCTTGATCCCCACCAGCCACAATGCTAGACACATCTTCCTGGCCACCTGGAAGCAATTAAAAAAGGGAAGAAGAAAAAGAAAGCAGGACCATCTGCAGGCAATTCCTGAGGAGCGACAATAAAGTCTCTACAGCAGGGGACAGGCAGCTATCCAGTTGTTCAACCTTCCCATCTCCTAACTGAGGAGTTTTATGCAGAAAGCCATATCCCAGAGACAAAACGGGGTATAAAAGGGGAGAAACATCCTGCGTCTGTACTCAGAATCCTTTCAGCACAGGACTGCAACGGCTTCAACCTTGAGGGCTTCCTAAAAGGCACACAGGGCAGGCTGGAAGGAGGCGCCTGACTCTGTGCAGGTACTAGGCACTCTCTAGGCTGAATGCTAAAAGCTGGTTCCTTACCTAGAATTTACCTCTGCAAGAGCTGGGTGCTTGTTGCTGTTCCATACTCTGTAGTTGTGGGTATTTTTCCAGGCTGCTACAAACGCCGTTCCAAAGTCTGACAATGTCTTTTCATTGTCTGATAAATTAAAATAAAAATGAGTGAATATGTGGTAATTTGTTAGAGATGCAATATAAAGAAAAGAGAAGGGTTTTGTTCCCTTTAAACCTTTAAAACCTTTAAAATTTTCCAGGCTCTTGACAAACCAAAGTCAGGTCAAATTCCAGTATTATGAACCTGACACAAAAACATCTTCATTTTAAAAGCTGTCCCAAATCTACAGAGCCGGAACAAAACACAGACACACACACACAAATGACAGATACGACTACACAATTTATGTTGCCTTTGGGCAACATGTGGGGGGGGAGCGGGGGAGTGTCTTTATTTTTAAATCAGCTTTTCATCATGCATCATTTTTTTCTTATTTTTTCATTTATTTACAAAGCTCTGAGGAGTACAACTGGGGAGAAAAAAAAAAAAGAAAAAAAAAGAAAAAAGCCCTCACCCAAACATCCAAAATGGCCCTCTTGGCCTGTTCTCTGGGCAAAGAGGCCATGCAGCAGGCAGGAACAGAAACCCTTGCCCTGCTCTGGGCCCCATGCGCTGGGCTCTGCTGGACTACATGACTACATGTTCCTATTTAGTAAACCTCAGATCAATCCCAAAACTGAACCATCAGCTACTGTAGAATAAACCTAAACATCTCCCTTAGAGTAAAATACATAAGAGCACAGGGAATCATTTCAGAATCAGAGTTAATCATTTGAGAGCAGCATGAGCTTCAAGTTGGTATTTCATACAGAGCACATAATCATCTTTAAGTAATTATGCTCTTCAACAACACTTAGTCTTTCTGGATCTTTAAGTGTCGTTCTCAGTCCCACGTTCTCTTGCATACACCATGTCATGGGCACTGAATGAGGTAACAGTCAGTAAAAGCAAAAGAAGCCTGAGGAGGATGAGGTTAAACGGTTCAGTGTGGGGCAAGTGAAGCATTTTCTAGAAACAAACCATCAATTCATTTTTGTTGCATTTATGCAGCAAAGACTGGAACACAGGGGATTCCCTCTGAACAGAATTTCTGAGACAGAAATGCTTAAGCTTCAGAAAACAGAAGCTTATAAAGCCTACAGCTGGCACTTTTCACTTACTGAATTCCTATTTAAGACTACGCAGGGAGGGAGAAGAGATGGCTCAGGTCACCAAGACTCTCTGAGGGCAGCCACAAACTTCATCCCTCCCTAGGTCCAGTTAGTTCCCTAAGCTGAACTAGGAGGCAACAGAATCTGCAGAATATTCTGGGTTGGTAACATCTCTCACTAGATGTGTTTGCCAGTTCTTCTACTAATGAAGAAAGCTCAACCAAATCAAGGAGATTTTTGTTGTCTCTGGATATCCTTGTTATTCCTTGAGAAATTTATTTACTAAATTCTTACTCTGCAGCCTCAAAGGCTATTTCTTCTTTGACCATCATCTTTTCCTTGGCAGGAGGCCAAACACACACAGAGCAAGCAATTATTACCCCCACGTTCATCTGAGCCCCTGGACAGGACACGCCGTGTACCTGGTTGCAGCACAGCAGCGAGCAGCGCGTGAAGATACGCAGTAAACTGAGCCCTGATCCACTCGTCTCCTCCTTCCCAACCAGTGCCGTCAAGGAAAACATCATCTCTGTTTTCAGTCACGTGCTTCACCAAGTAATCTGCAAACCTCAGGTCAGCCGTTGTAGGGTTCAGGATCTTGCGGAGTTCTGGATCATGGATTTGTACATGAGCATCTTCTATCTGTTTGAAATAATTCCAAGGGCAAAAGGGGATCCAAATGAAATTACTTATACATATAATAGCTCGTACTATTACTGTCAAACAACTGCCTACATCTAAACACAGAGTCACAACCAGTATCAAGATGAAACAAATAACCAAATAAATCACAAGTAACTCATTCTCAGAACGACAGATACATCTGATAAAACCAGAACCTGATGATCTTCCTGGCCCAGAGTAAAAGCTTATTTCACAGTATTCGGCACAGGAATTTTCTTTGATTTTTTTCTTTGATTACTGCTACTTTAATTTAGCCTCTATGTTAAGTTGGTTGCATACATTTAACTGTTACGTTACTGAATTCTTAAGAGTTGTTTCATGGAGAAGTTGCTCAAAATCTGGGCACGAACCTGAAACGCTACGGACAAGTACCCAAAATGCAAGCCCCGCTTTGCCGCCCTTCCCTCCAGCTCAAGGGGTTCAAACGCGTCGTACCTCTACGATGGCATCGCTCAGGTGTTTCTGCTGACGGAACAGGATGTTGGTGGCTCCAGCAACAAAGCCACGGACCGAGACGTCTGAGAGGAGATGATGTTGCTGCAGTGCCATATACGGCAAACAAAGGTAGCCCTAAAGTAACAGATATTTAGAGGATCAACAAGAGGACAAAACATTGTCCTCATGCACAGTTTTTCCTAACAGAAGTCAGCACATTCCCACCCATAGCGAGGAAGTCTGGTTACTGTAATTTCAGCCATGATTAGCTATGTCTTTGCTACATTATACCTATAAAATTTTCACCTAAACTATGTTTTTCAAGAGGTTTTCAAGAGGTTTCAGTCTCAGGACTGAAAACAAAATACAGCACTGGCTGTCAAGAAGCAGATGTGTTTACACAGTAGCAGAATAAGCAGCAGAGAGTGAGCATGAAGGTCTCAGGCCAGCTTACAGACAAGATGCCAAGGCAGAGACACACCTGTCTTGCTTTTTATTTGCATATTGTGCTGCTTTGGGGTAGACCTGAGGTACATCGTGCAGAAAAGCCACGGCAGCTTGCCCACCTGCTGCCCACATTTTGAAGATGGGGACTAGCAGGCTTCAGAGATGGTGGTCAATTTTGGGTGAGCTTGAGAAAGCAGGAAATAAAGCAAGGCACTGTGCCTCTTAACCACCCCATGCCTAGAAATTAGTCTAGTATCCTATATTCCAATTAAAATAATTTTTCCTTTTAATAATTTCCTTTTAAAAAAAGGAAAATAGAAAAAAGGAAAAAAGAAATAGGGAAAAAATAAAATAGAAAATAAGAAAAGGAAAAAAAAAGAGAAGAAACCCCACACTTGAAGACCATTTCTGTAAGGATTTCAAGTAAATAATGCAAAGATCATTGAAAAGAAGCTGTAGGTATTATTTCTCTTATATGTCGGCTCAACCTACCCATTGAATTTAAAACTGAAATCTAATTCTGTTTCAACCGCATAAAGCACAACTCAGTTTATCCACCAGTACAAACCCAGCAGGGCAGACTGGACAGCAGCAAAGAGCACATGCACTTTATCACACAGTACATGTTAGCTGGAAACACAGGGAACAAACGAGTACAACTGTTCCCTTTTGCTATATTAAACACGGGGAGAGCTTTCCAGATGACAAGCACTTATCAGCTAGAAACAAACAGCCGGCGTCAAAAGAACAACAGCACTTGGAAACAGAACCACCACCCTAACACAGAAAATATGCAGAAATACAAGGCTTAGGAAGTTGGCAAAGAAAGGTCTAATTAAATTTTACTCAAATTTTGGAAATATTTCACTGTTTAAAATATCAAGGGTCAGTTCCCAAATTCATATTTCTGTGTTGTTTTCTGTTTCTTTAAAAAAAAAAAAAAAGAGAGAAGAGAGACAGAAGAGGAGAGGAGAGGAGGAGGCGGGGAGGGGGGAGTAGAGGAAGAGGGGAACGAGGAGGGGAGAGCGCACAATTAAAATGAGCATTAGATCCCACAGAATTGGTACTAAAAAAAACGAAAATACCACAGCCTGTTTTTCCTCATGCTCTGGTGTATTTGGATATATTCTGCCAACTGGCAAAATCTCATCCCACTCAATTTTGTCCTATTTGTTATTGCTATAGAGCATTGCATAAAAGAGCCCGGAGATGAGCACTCTAAATAAGAGTTTAATTTCCTCGAAGCAGTTACATTTTAACTTGCAATCACATTTTCTCATAGCTTTGTGGTGTAAAGCCTTTTCTATTCTAATTTCACTTGAGTTCATCCAGTGTAAAGCACCTTTGTGGAACAAAAGGTAAACATGTAGACACTATCAACTTCCATAAAAATTGTTTACTTTTCCATTTTACAAGCTTAGCAGCAAATAAAATTGCCGCTCTTAGCCTCCCCCCTCCCCATATCAGTTATTTGCTCCTTGCCTGCAAGCTAGTGTTTTAAGAGAACTAAGCTAAATCCAACTTGCAGGCTATTCTTGAGAGCAGACAGAGCACGAGGACACACAGCAGACTGCAGATGGTGGCTGGGCAGCCGTCTCTAGCGGTGGCTTATGGCAACGCAGAGCAGATGGCCTCTGATCTGCTCGTTTGGGCCTAACGTGGGAACCCCAACAGTTGAGGGGATGAACCTGAATCTTCTGCTGCCTGAGCAAATGTTATGACATTTGATGTTATTACAGAAGAACAAAACAAAGCATCACATCACTTCTTTCACTGACAAGAATCTGGTTAAGAGGAGGCATTTGCCCTGGTTTTCACAGGTAGCACATGTTACCTGAGAATGTCTATCAGGAGAGTCTGAGAAACTCTCAAACCTGGAGTTGAGTTTCCCTCCTGCGTAACCTTAGAGCCCAGCACTGCGCCCAGAGACAGAGCTTCAGATAATGAGGAAGTGTTAACAGACAAAGAAGAAAACTTCCCTCCAGGCTTAGGTAGCAGCGCAGGAACAGTTTGCATAATCTCAGTTAATAGCATTAAGCTGCCTTCTTTCCAAGTACTCTGCTCTGGCCTCATATAGATTAGATTACCAATTCTTCAGAGTAGAAGGAAACTGCAGTTACTGATACCTACCATGCACTGCACGGAGGGGATGTGCGGGTTGGAGTCGTGCAGAATTGCAAATAAACCCACGAGAGCAAAGCGTGGGGCACGTGTGCCCAGAGGCGCGGGCACTGAGCTGCTCCTTGCTTGCCTAGGATCACACAGACTGTACTTACACGAAACTGCAGTACCCTGCAGTCCCCCCAGGGCTGGGCAACCTCACTTCCTTGCGCCTTCTGTAAAACCAGAAGTGCTTCCGAGTTACCAGAAGCAGCTGTTTACCTTTGTGAAGACAGCGAGGGGCATGCCAAACGGGTCCTCCTCCAGGCCGGACACCAGGCCCGGAACCAGCACCGCGTGCCCTGCGTTCGCCTGGGGCTGCACAGTGATGGGGAGGCCTTCGGAGCGGGCGCGTTCCTGCGGTCGGCTTGCAGCCGGGTCACGGGCTTTGCTTTCCCCTTCTCCTTTGGGATTAGGCTCCTCCAAAATGCTAGGGTCTAAGGTCTCCCAGTCACTTTCAGAAGACTCTGGAGAAGTGCGGAAAGGAACTTTCAAGCGCTGCACGGCACCGTTGGGGGGCTGAGCTCCATTGCAAGGCTTCTCCGACTGAGGAAAAGGCACATGGGCTTTTTGACCTTCCGGTGAGTGTTCTCCTGCCATCTTCCTGCCTCCCTTTCCCATTCCCAAGTTTGTATTTGAAACATCACCATCTAACCGTGGAGTGGTTTCCTGCAAGCCAGCATCCTCTGACACGCTCTTTCTTGGTCTATACTGTGAGCAGTCAGTAAGACCATGCTCAATCATACCTGGAAAGTGATATCACATGTGAATAGCAGCACCTTAATACAAATTAAATTAACTCTTCTTCAAGAAAATGAAGGAAATGTTCTTCTGTGCATACTAGAAATCACAGACTTCAGAAGACTACTTTGAAAGTCAAACCTTACCACCAAAAGAATCTGGCCCCAATTATTTTTTTCTTTTGTTTTTGTTTCTTTGAGGGACATGTAGAGAAAGTTGGAACTTTCCTTGTAGAGGAAATAGAGCTGTATTTTTGGTTTGTAGGAACTTGGCCAGCATCTACGCCCACTAATTTAGCCAGGGTCCCATCTACATTATTAACAAGCAATATACAGAAGATTTAGTACCTCTGGTTAAACACAAAGATTAATCCAGATAATGCAAGTAATATGTATTAGGAAATGTGTTCATACAGCACTGACGAGAATATAAGTTACCCCATTTTTCAGGCAGTATAATCAACGGAACTGTCACATAAATTGTTTTCCACATAGAATAGCACAGTCAGTCTCAGTCATGAACAGGAACCATATTAAGAAGAACTCCAAATGTTTCCTCTTACCAGGAAAGAGT